CAAAATTCGTTCCATTGGTCAAACCGTGGCAGACGCGGATACCTGACGCACCAATGGAAAATTAAAACCCCTCCAGTGTGCGACTGTCGTCATTCAGAATAGACCGTACAACGGATAACAACGCAATGCACCGATCCGCAAATACGAAAGAGACATCACGGCGATACACTATTCCGCTGCTGCTCCTGACGCGCTGATCTGCTGGCTTGACCACTTGATTTCGAAATTAAAGTTGTTGCTTTGCATCTACATCAGCAGCCGTACGACAGAAAATTTCCGGAGCGTCCTATGATCCGATTCGGAGAGAGCATGGTCGTAACGACAATCGTGATAAAAATTATGATGATAATACTTAACTCTTAGTTCTTTCGGTAAAGTCACGAAGGTAAAAAATGAAATAAAAATTAATAAAAATATTGTTTTATTTTTATTAATTTTAATTTCATTTTTTACCTACGTAACATTACCGAAAGAGCTAAGAGTATGAATCCTTGCAGTCACGAAAGCTTCAAATCTAGATTATGATAATGCCCATTAAGGAGATGGTGAGAGGGAACTCCAAAGCCAGCAATGCCGCGTGTGTCATTTTATCGTGCTCGGTGACTTCTGACGTCGTCGCAAGGGATTCGTCGGTGATCGGTCGGTGCGCGCGTGCTGGTTAGCACACGTGGTTAGGCCTGCAATCCAGAGGTCGCCGGCTAGATTCCATTTCGTGGCACGTCAACGGTGCAGGCTTCTTCGGTCCTCTGGCATCGCCGTCCACACAGCCGTGTCTGTCGCTACGCAACTCCAGACGCGTCGCACGAGACGTGAAGCGTGAAACGAGTTGGGCGCTAACAGAGCGGTAGACGCGAAAAATGAAGGAATTTATACGACCACATTAAACACCCCCCCCCCCCCCCTCTGGTCTTCGCACCCGATTGACTCACAGTTGATGACGTCACATTTTTAAATCCTTTATATTAAGTTCGTTTGCTTGCTTGCTTGCGCGCTTACGACCGTGCAAATCTTTCGGTCGTTTTTTAACCCACTTCCCGTGATCCAATCGAGCTGACATTTTGCACACAGACTCGTTGTGCGTGAGAATTTATTTTAGTGAATTTTTTTTTCTAAAATTTCACACTTTTTAGGAATTTTTTTTTTATTATATGTAATTACCAATTGCTTAATGGTGGCAGGCAATCATCTGACCCATAGGTGGCAGCCATCTCAAGCCAGAGGACGAGAGGACTCTAGCCGCCACGCATATAAAGGATTTATAGTGAAAAACTTTGTTTTTGCGGGCACATTTTTTACCCACCTCTATTTGAGACCGCAACAGGACAAAGATTTCTCCACATATCTGCGGCTGTCCGCCTGATGACGCTGGTTGTTGTAATTTGCCGGCGAAACGTCACGGCACTCGAATTGTAAATGTTGTGGCTTTACTCTCCAACACACAAGCGGTGTGCTGTACTAGTAACTAATTGGCACGTTTCGTTTGCGTGACAAACCTTACTAATTGGCTGTGTCGGGTGTTGGCGGGTTTAACGACAACATTTACATTCACGCCATCTAACCCCAACAAAACAACTATTATGGACGCATGCCCACGAAAACAGATGCGCCTGTTTTCATGGGCAGGGTCTCAGCTGCGCTCGTTTCAAGCGGCCGAGATTTCCAGATCCCAGGAGCAGAAGCCGTGGTTGGAGCGGAAAACTCCTGTGGCGAGTCGACCGCGGATCAGAGCAACGGCTCGTCCCTGTCGAGCGTGGAAGAGTCGCAGCAGGGCGGCGGCGGTGGTGGCGGCGGGCCGGGCACGCCTGTGAATTGAGCAGCGTGGAGGCGAGGGTTGGTGGATCGCTCAGGTGTCGTGAAAGCCCCTTCCCATGGACGTCGGGGTGCAAGCAAATGTGGAACTCGGCGTGCTGCACGGGGTCGGGTGTTGTCGCACGTGCGGATCTTCTTCGGGTACTCTGGTTTACCTCCCGCGTACAAACCGCCGTTAATTGGGGATTGTAGAGCTGGGGTAACTGGTGGTGCCGGCTCACTGCCCGGCTGCGTTCCCACTTCAAGTTTCATTTCATTCAAGTTTCATTTATTTGGTATAGCCCTGTGAGCCATGCGGCTCTTGAGTCGGGTGCAACCGCAACAAACTAAATATGAACGAAGAACATCTTAAAGCGACGACGCGCAACAGAAACATCCTGTCTGCTTGGTTCTTTCGGTAAAGTCACGTAGAATGGAAATAATAAAATAATAAAATTAAACATAATAAAATAATTCTCACGACGTTTCGGCCACAACACAAGCAGCCGTCCTCAGGTGAAGAACAGGTCTGTCGTGAAGACAGCGGCTGAAGACAGAGAGACGCTGTCTACTCGACAGACCTGTTCTCCACCTGAGGACGGCTGCTTGTGTTGTGGCCGAAACGTCGTGAGAATTATTTTATGATGTTTTATTTTTATTATTTTATTATTTCCATTCTACGTGACTTTACCGAAAGAACCAAGAAGATGAATCCCTGCAGTCACGAAAGCTTTAAATCGAAAAGAAACATCCTGGATAAACCAGCAAATCTTCCAAAAAAAATTATCCCGTGGTTCCTCCCCGTGCCCCTTGAGTCGTGCTCTCTTTCTCTCTCTCTTTGAGGGCGAGCGAACGCTGCGTGTGCGTTACAAGTTGAAATGATTATCCATAGTGGGCCCAAAATTGCGTTGAGATGGGCTCTCTTCTGCCCCCTCTTGAGTTGTGAGGCCCCTTTCCTCCACCTTCACAACTGCTCTTTGTGTTTAGTTTGTTGTCCTTCCCCCGCACCTCCGATTAGCACGCTTGGCTACGTACGGTGCGAAAGAAGTTCAACACGTGCAATGCCGGTATGCCGCAGCGCTGCACGTGCGCCGTTTGTTGTATAATCCCGAGGCGTGTGTTGATATGTGGATTGCCAATAGTATCGGAGTATCTTGTTCGGCCCTTAGTAAGGAAAAGCGTTTGGCTGGTGACTTGGCTGAGTGATAGCACGTTCACCAGCTACCATCGTTACAGTCACCTTGTTATTGTTGTGGATCTGATAACCGTGATCGCCGTCAGCTTCACTCGCAACGGACGCGAAAGAACCCCCCGATGTCATTTGCAACAGTTGGTCATCTGCACCTCCAATTAGCACGGTTGGCCACGTACGGTGCGAAAGAAGTTCTACTTACACACACATACGTACGTGTGCGTCAGTATCCGAATGGGACGGCAGGTTACTCAATTGCATTACACGTGATTGAACCCACGACCTCCTCCGACTGGCAGACTAATGAAATGCCCTCGGTCACTCTCGCAAGTGACATTCAGCCTGGTCTCTTTGAGCTCTCGCCTTGGTTATCGCGAAATCAACTTGAAACTGGAAGGTTTTCCCCGCCCCGTGGTTTGGGGCTATCGGACGGAGCGAGCGCCGCTGCCATTTTGCTCTTTTTAAATCCTTTATATTAAGTTCGCTTGCTTGCTTGCGCGCTTACGACCATGTAAATCTTTCGGTCGTTTTTTAACCCACTTCCCGTGATCCAATCGAGCTGACATTTTGCACACAGACTCGTTGTGCGTGACAATCTATTTTCGTGAAATTTTTTTCCCATAATTTTACACTTTTTAGGAAAAAATTAATTATATTTAATTACCAATTGCTTAATGGTGGCAGGCAATCATCTGACCCATAGGTGGCAGCCATCTCAAGCCGGAGGACGAGAGGACTCTAGCCGCCACGCATATAAAGGATTTATAGTGAAAAACTTTGTTTTTACGGGTTAATTTTTTCTTTGTTTTGTCGCGCATCATCCCGTTGCCTCCACCCCGCCGTCGACAAATGGCGGTGCTCACAAAGCCGCTACTGTACTCCCGCCGGTTTGCGTGGCTGCCCTGCCAAGAAAGAAAAAAAATCCGACGATGAAGTTGTTGTGCGATTCCGCAGCGTCGCGTTTTGCTCGGGGGCCGGGTGACGGTTTAAGAGGATTTTTTGAGCAAATGATTTGAATGTTGTATTCTCCGGATTATGACGCACTTGTTTTTCCTCGTATCTTAAGGCAAAAGAAGGTTGGGGGGTGCATCGTTGTCAACTAAGAGCACTGACGATGTTACAGCAGACAGGAAAAATTATATATTTACTGACATAGGACACGCACACATCGGATTCATACGTTAATATAGGGCCCATAAACTCACGTCGGACCCATAGACTTACATAGGACCCATACCTTAATGTAGAATCCAAAGACTTATGCAGAACCCATACACTAACATAAGACGCATAGACTTACATAGAATCCATACGCAAACATTTGACCCGTAGACTTACAAAGAACCTCATTGGAATATGAACTTAAACACAGAAATGGTCAATCACGTGATGATGATGTCGTTCGTCCACTGCTGTGGCTGTGCGTGGTCACCGCAGTCCAGCGCATCACCTGGAGTTTGGCGATAATGACAATGATGATGTCAATGGTGATAATTCAGCCTCGTACGTGGTCCTGTGTGTGTGTGTGTCGTCACCACGGGCCAGTTTATCATCTACAGCTTGGAGATGATGATAATGTTGACGATGATGTTGACGACGATGACGATAATGATGACGACATTCATACATTCTCTTCACCGGTAGTCCTGGTGATGCCGTGCATGTTTTCTCACCGCAGGCCAATGCATCATCTACAGCTTGGAAATGATGATAATGTTGACGACGACGATGATGATGATGATGACATTCATACATTCTCTTCGCCGGTAGTCCTGGTGGTGCTGTACATGTTTTGTTACCGCAGCGCAATGCATCATCTAGAGCTCGGATATGACGACGACGGTTATCATGATGACGATGACGACGATGACGACGACCACTTTGATCCGCCCTCTCTCCGCCGCTGCTCGTGCTGGCGGATGCGTGTGTTGTCCGCGTCGACCAGTGCGCCGTCTAGAGCTCAGAAACAACGACGTTAATCCGCTCGTGTCCGCGTGACCCTCCCCACACCCCCCCGCAGACCAGCGCAGCTGCATCTCTTTCCCGGCACACGAGCTCGCCTACCTCCACTCGGTGGGCGACTGCGCCCCGTGCCTCCTCATCGCCGGCACCAGCGACGGCGCCAAGCTGCGTGCGCTCGAGTGCATCCTCGGGGAGCGCGTGCTGCCCGACCTTCCCTCGGACGGTGCGGCCCCGCTCTCGTCACTTGCGTTCAAACGACAAAGGGGCCGACCGTAAACTCGATCCTCCCCCCGTGCAAGGGAATTAATCCGCTTGTGCTGTACTGGCACGTATCGGCAAGCCGAGAGATGAATTGCGAGCTATTTTAAACTATTTGAACTGGAAGCTATTTTCTATGTTACCAGGTGTTAAGGCCCGCTGAGCTATGGAGATCTTTATCAGAAGCGATCTGGCCACGAATGAAAGCCCGATTAAGTGGCTTGTCATCATCACTCTAAACGCATGGTGTTCATTCTAAATGTGGAGGGGAAAACCGGAGGACCCGGAGAAAAATCCACGCGACCACGGGGAGAGGGAACATGCAAACTCCAAATATACAGCAGCAGGTGTCAGGGATCGAACCCACGACCTCCTGTATACCAGGCGAGGTAGTTAACATCTCGGCAGCGCGGCTTTCTGATGATCATTCAACACCCTTTGTTTAGCATTTTTGCGATTTTTGAAATTGCTGCCTCATACCACGGCCTGCCAGAAATTCCTTCACGAGGAGGGGCTCTAGGGGGCCCTTCTGGGGGGTGGGGGGGATATTTGGCCTACTCTAGCCCCAGGGGTTCAATGAGTTGCATCGGCTTTAGAAAATGTTTGAATGCACGCCCGTGCGTGAATATTCGGAAAAGCTTTCTCGTTGTGCGGACGACGCGTTTCAGCGCCTCTTCAAGCAGTCGTCCGCGTGCGACTAAGTGAACGTACTTGTACACGCACGAGCCCATTCGCCCAAGACCGACATACTTCGAATGTCTCGGGGACGAGACTGCATCGTGCGAAAGTGGAATTCGTCCCAGAGGTCGCAACCGGGTACCCGATACCCGTACCCTACCCGGCTACCCGTACCCGGCCGGTTACGGGTACGGGTAGCCGTTTGCGACCCTGGTGCGGCCGGGTACGGGTAGGCCGTGAGTCACTGGTGAGTAACTGTTTGTCACTCATTTCGGGTAGGGTACGGGTACGGGTAGGCCGTGAGTCACTGGTGAGTAACTGTTTGTCACTCATTTCGGGTAGGGTACGGGTAGGCCATGAGTCACTGGTGAGTAACTGTTTGTCACTCATTTCGGGTAGGGAACGGGTACCCGTACCCGGCTGGGTACGGATACGGGTACCCATTTGCGACCCTGGTGCAGCCGGGTACGGGTAAGGAATCAAAACCCGTTTGCGACCTCCGTCCCCAACAGCTCCCCCTCAACCGCAGTCCGCTCTCTCTCCTCCCGGCCTCCCGGCTGTAGCGGACAATGCGGGCGGTGGAACTGCCGACGGCGTCGGGAACGGCAATGGCGGCGGCGGCGGCGACGGTGGCGGCAGCACGGGAGCGGCGTGCCGGGCAACGCGGCTGCGGCACGGCACGGAGCGTCGCGCCAGCCTCGTCCTGCCGGGGCAGTTTGAGCTGCTGCACCCGCAGCAGGCCACGCCGCCGCAGCAGCCTCTGCAGCAGCAGGAGCAGTCGCAACAGCCGCAGCAGCAGCAGCTGCAGCAGCAACAGCTACAGCAGCAGCTACAGCAGCAGCTGCAACAGCAGCTGCAGCAGCAGCAGCACGAAGACGACGACTGGGAGAGGACGCCGGCTGCTGTTGCCGCTACCGCCGCTTACCTGCGCATGCTCCAGCCCGAGTGCCAAGACCCGGCGTTCCGGCAAGCTCAGCTGGAGCTCAGCCTGCCGCACCCGCTGCTCAAGGTGACCGCGCGGGGCGCTGCTGGCGGTCGCACGGAGGGGTTGACGATCAACTGATCTCGAGGAGCCGTCCGTGGGGCGCGCCACGGTGGCGAGGAGATGTTAACTACCTCGCCTGGTATACAGGAGGTCGTGGGTTCGATCCCGACCCTGACGCCTGCTGCTGTATATTTGAAGTTTGCGTGTCTCTCTCTCTCTCATCACGGTGGCTAGGAGATGTTAACTGCCTCGCCTGGTACACAGGAGGTCGTGGGTTCGATCCCGACCCTGACGCCTGCTGCTGTATATTTGGAGTTTGCATGTCTCTTTCTCATCACGGTGGCTAGGAGATGTTAACTGCCTCGCCTGGTACACAGGAGGTCGTGGGTTCGATCCCGACCCTGACGCCTGCTGTATATTTGGAGTTTGCGTGTCTCTTTCTCTCTCATCACGGTGGCTATGAGATGTTAACTACCTCGCCTGGTACACAGGAGGTCGTGGGTTCGATCCCGACCCTGACGCCTGCTGTATATTTGGAGTTTGCGTGTCTCTCTCCTCATCACGGTGGCTAGGAGGTGTTAACTACCCCGCCTGGTACACAGGAGGTCGTGGGTTCAATCCCGACCCTGACGCCTGCTGTATATTTGGAGTTTGCGTGTCTCTTTCTCTCTCATCACGGTGGCTAGGAGATGTTAACTACCTCGCCTGGTATACAGGAGGTCGTGGGTTCGATCCCGACCCTGACGCCTGCTGTATATTTGGAGTTTGCGTGTCTCTCTCTCTCTCATCACGGTGGCTAGGAGATGTTAACTACCCCGCCTGGTACACAGGAGGTCGTGGGTTCGATCCGGACCCTGACGCCTGCTGCTGTATATTTGAAGTTTGCGCGGTCTCCCTGTGCTCGCGTGGATTTTTCTCCGGGTCCCCCGGTTTCCCCCCTCCGCCTTTAGAATCAACATCACGCGTTTAGAGTATTTGGCTGCTAGAAATCCCCACGTGATGATGACAAGCCACTTCGTTTGCCTATCATTAGTGCTAGCCAGGTCGCTACTCAAAAACAGCTGCGACCCAGAGGTCGCAAACGGGTTTTGATTCCGTACCCGTACCCGGCCGCACCAGGGTCGCAAACGGGTACCCGTACCCGGCCGTACCCGTACCCTACCCATACCCGGCCGGGTACGGGTAAGGAACGGGTATCGGGTACCTGATTGCGACCTCTGGGATGAAGCCATGTTGCAGGCGCGGGTGGGTTGATTCTAGGAACTTGAATTGTGAGAAGAGACAAGACGTTGGGAAATGAGTGACAAACGGTTACTCACCAGTGACTACCCGTACCCGGCTGCACCAGGGTCGCAAACGGCTACCCGTACCCGGCCGGGTACGGGTAGCCGGGTATCGGGTAGGGTACGGGTATCGGGTACCCGGTTGCGACCTCTGGCCTGACCTGGTAAAAGAAAAAGTGTATTTTGTTTTTGCCATGATGATAAATTACAAGCACCCACCAACGGGATATAATTAACGGCGCGGGAGTTTTAACAACGCGGTGCCGGAACGTCGCGGCGGGGCGCGCCACGCTGAAGCCAGGCGCCCACTCACGTGCGGAATGTCGCACGGGCAGGAATACTTCATTAGCACCGAGTCGACACGATCGCCAAGTGAAAAAAAACACCCAATAAACATCCCATATGTAATTTCGATTTAAAGCTTTCATGACTGCAGGGATTCATCTTCTTGGTTCTTTCGGTAAAGTCACGTATTTCCATTCTACGTGACTTTACCGAAAGAACCAAGAAGATGAATCCAATATATAATGTATGAAAATATATATATGAAGTACAACTTCGCATATCCGACCAGCTGGGGACTGAAGTACAGGCGGACAAGTGAGAAGGTCGGATATTCGAACGTGTGTGGGGAATGACGGTCAAACACAAAGGGTCCCTCATCAATTCGTCGTCTTTCCCCACCCGCCCTCCGACCGTCATGGTTGGCTACGTACGGTGCGAAGGAAGCTCGGCGTACGAACACCGAGGGCCTCCCGAAGCCCGTCGCCATCCCTCACGATCGCACGATGCGGGAACCTGGCGGCCGCGTGCACGCGAGCGGATTTCACGGCTCCACGTCCCCCGCGGGAGTGGCCCCCTCCTTGGGCTCGCGTTCCGCTGTGAGGCACGACCCTCGGCCTTCACAACGTCTCTGGCCTGCGCGCGTTCTCTCGCCCCGGCCTGTCCTCCTCGCCTACACGCCTTGTCCCCCCCCGCCCCGACACACGCCCCTCAGTTTTCATCGCCCTCGCGAGCGCGCAGAGAACCCGCAGAGCTGTCCCATTGTCACGAGCCGTAGTTCCTAAACCCAATATGTCGTCGCCTTCACGCCCCTCGCGCATTATTGCGGCCGCGTTGGCATTGTCATGGCCAGCGGGCGTCTTGCTGGCACAGCTGCGGCGATGACACAACGTGCGAGGCAGCGTGTTGTTGTTGTGGTTTGTGCGGGTAACACAACGTGCAAGGCGAACTGTTGTTGTTGTTGTGGTGTGTGCGGGTAACACAACGTGCAAGGCAGCGTGTTGTTGTTGTTGTGGTGTAGGCGGGTAACAACAACGTGCAAGGCAGCGTGTTGTTGTTGTTGTGTTGGCGAGTAACAACAACGCTCCCGTGTTGCCAGGGAAAGTTCATAGCGAGTAGCCTGCGGGCGCAAGGAATGCTGCGCGTGAGCTCCAATAATCATCTGCTTTGTTTTTAACAACATGTGCGGTTACCATGGCAACTGGGAAGTTTTTAAGTACTGGGCACCACGGCGGCTAGGAGATGTTAACTACCTCGCCTGGTATACAGGAGGTCGTGGGTTCCATCCCAACCCTGACGCCTGCTGCTGTATATTTGGAGTTTGCGTCTCTCTCTCATCACCGTCACGATGGCTAGGAGATGTTAACTACCTCGCCTGGTATACAGGAGGTTGTGGGTTCGATTCCGACGCCTGTACACACTTGGAGTTTGCGTGTGTCTCTCCCCGTGGTCGCGTGGATTTTTCTCCTGGTCCGCGGTTTTTTTCGCTCCACATTTCAGCAACATCACGCGTTTAGAGAATTTGGCGGCTATACATTAGCACGTGATGACAGACCACTTAGTTGGGCTGTCATTTGTCGCTAGGCCGCTCATGAAAGAGAGCTGCATAGCTCAGTGGGCCTTAGCTGGTGAAATAAAAAATAGTTGGTTCCTAATGGCAAAGCATGGCCTGTTGTATGTACGTATGTTAAAATTACTTTGCATCCTACGTAGCCAACCGTGTTAATCGAAGGTGCGTGTTGGTGTGCGTGCGTGTGTGCATTTACGAGTGGAGGGCGTGGGACGGTGGTTAGCGCAGTGGGTTTACTACCCAGCACACCTGTTTTACCTGCTTCATTGGTTGTCTGTCTACCTGTTTGACTGTGTCCGCCTGCCTGTTTTACTTTCTGTCTGCCCATCTGTCTACCTGTCGGCTTGCCTGCCTGACCATCGGGTCTGTACCTGTTTGACTGACTTTCTACCTACCTGCCACTCTGCCTTTCTTCTCTGGCTGCCTGTTTGTCTCCCTGTTCGCCGGTACATCCAAATGCCTTTCCATGAATATGCGTGGTATGCAGCAGTGCAGTGGTTGGCACATTGCGCTACGAAACCACCGACTTGCGTTTAATTTCCCGCTCAAGGCTAACGTCGGTGGAGAGTGGTATATGATCTTCTTGTTGTCCTCGGCCTTCTCAGCCTTAATTGAGTACCCGGCACGGACTGTTAAACAACACGGGCAGTCAGGCATGCTCCTGGATACACGCCACCCACAATTCGTACCGTGCCATCCTTAATAGGTGCTCCATGCGTCTGCGTCAGAGGTCACAACCGGGTACCCGATATCCGTACCCTACCCGATACCCGGCCGGGTACGGATACGGGTAGTCGTTTGCGACCCTGGTGCGGCCGGGTATGGGTACGGGTAGGCCGTGAGTCACTGGTGAGTCACCGTTTGTCACTCATTTCGGGTGGGGTACGGGTACGGGTAGGGAACGGGTACCCGTACCCAGCCGGGTACGGGTACCCGTTTGCGACCCTGGTGCGGCCGGGTATGGGTACGGGTAAGGAATCAAAACCCGTTTGCGACCTCTGGTCTGCATGCCCCTGTGTCTATGCATCTATGTGTCTGTGCTTATGTCTGCTGATCTGCCCATGTGTCTGTGTGACCATGCGTCTGTCTGTGTGTGTGCACGCCTGTGTACCTGTCTGCCCGAATGCCCACGTGTCTGCGTTTCTGTGTGTGTGTGTGTCCGTCCGTGTGTCTGTTTGCCCCTATATATATTTACGTACGCACGTGTGCGTTTCGCGCCGTACGTAGCCACACGCGATAATCGGAGCCGTGCCGTGCTAACCGTACAACCCGCGTCACCCCGCGTGCCCGCCCCGCGCCCCACCAGGAGGTGAGCGTGGTGCTGGCGCCGTCGCGGCAGCTGCAGCCGCTCACCGCCGCGCTGGAGGAGCTGCGCAGCCACTTCCTGCCCGTCGTCCTCTACGCCGTCGCCTGCGACCGGCTGTCCGACGCCGACGCCCTCGAGCTGGCGCACCTCAAGCAGAACTTCTCCGAGCCGGTCTTCTTCCTGCGCCTGCCCCCGCACGCGCCCCCCGCGCCCGCGCCCCCCTACGCCCGCCTCACCACCACCTACGCCAAACTGGAAAGGGACCTCCTGAGCGCCGGCAACAACTGCGGCGGCACGGCGCTGCACCGGCAGCTCGTCGGGCTGGACTACCTCGGCGGCGCGTCGGCGGGCGCGTCGGCGGGCCGGGCTCACAGCGCGCTGACGGACTGCGCCGACCGGCTGCCGCACTTCTCGCGGCTGGCGCTGCACGCTCGGCTCGTGGAGGCGACGGGCGTCCTGGGCGGGGTGCACGCCCGCGGCCTCGACCTGTTCATCAGCCACGCGTTCGACATGGCGCGCGACCTGCAGATCACGCCGCGCCGCCTGCAGTACACGCGCGCCAAGGAGGAGGAGCTGTACGCGTCGCTGCTCGAGATCGCCAACGAGAAGCAGGAGGAGATCCGCCAGATGATCGTCGACACGCTCGACAGCATGCGCAAGCAGCTGCTGGAGGAGGCGGCCACCACCGAGTTCGCCGGTTCGTCGGCGGGGAGGGGGGGTGGGGTGGTGGTGCGGTCGTGGCTGTGGGTTAGGGTTGCGGTTAACGGATAGGGTTTTACGGGTTAAGGGTTTGGCGAGAGAGAGGGGAGATGGCGGTCGTTACCGCGGGTTTGATGCGAGAAATTTTTGCCGGGTTTTTTTTTTTGATCGCGGTTGTCAAACACCGGCCCCCCCAAAGGGCACAATCGCGAGCGTGTACAGGAGTTTAACACGCAGCAGTCGCAGGAGGAGGAGGGGGTTTTCGCCACCGATATAATCCATAAGAGAGGCTTTTGGGTTAGAGCGCGTAAATGCGTCGTTAAACCCGCCACCACCCGACACAGCCAATGAGTAAGGTTTGTCACGTAAACAGAACGTGCCAATTAGTTACTAGTTCAGCACACCGTTGTGTCAGAGAGCAAACCCACGACAACATTTACCATTCCTGTACCGTGACGTTTCGCCGGCAATTACAACAACCAGCATCATCAGGCGGACAGCCGCAGATTGTTGGCGAAATCCACCTCCTGTTTCGGTCTTAAACAGAGGTGGGGATGATTGTGATGTCATCACTTGCGAGCCAATCGGGTGGGGGTGGGGGGTGGGGGCGGTTAATGTCCAGCAGGTCACAAATCTTCTCGGCGTGCTACTTTCCTCGCACCGCTCCGCACTGGAATTCCCTCCCATCGTTTATTTTCCCACTTTCTCCTCGTAACCTGCTCACTTCAAACAAACCTCTCGACGATTGGCACTTTATCCGGATTACCAGAAGCTCTGCGGAAAAGTAAGACGTGCCCAAAACTCGTGCCCGGTGTCGACGCAGTTGCACGGATCTGGTTACGCACCTCCGATTAGCACGGTTGGCTACGTACGGTGCGAAGGAAGTTCAACGCACGTACGTACAACCAGCCCCCCCAAACCACCCGGCCACCTTCACAAGCCAACTTTTTCAACGACGTAAATTTTTCACGTGTTGACCCCCGTAGCTGTACGACCCCCGATAAATCGCACGCGGTCAAAACCGGCGCCCTCGGACATGCCAACTCCAGGTCTCAGCTGTGCCGGCTCTTACACGGCCATTATGAATCCTGACTACTCCCCCCACATCCCCCCCCCCCCCTTTGTCCCTTGCCGTTAAACATATATTAAACATACATTTATACATACCCTTACACACACACGCACATCGACCCAATTATATTATTATTTTATTACTTCCCTTCTATGTGACTTTACCGAAAGAACCAAAAAGATGTCCGGGGTTGACTGCGTGTTCTGTACTTGGGTCACGAAAGCTTTAAATCGAAAAATATACCCCACATTTTTGGTCTGAAATACAGAGGCAGTGGTGCGTCTTACAATCAGCAGAATAAAGTGAGGTGTAGCAAGTTGACGTATCCTGAACTGGGCACAAATAGTACAAACTTCTTGTGAGAGAGGGAATTCCAAAGTGAAGGCAGAAAGCGAAGCAGTTTTGGCCTGCAGTGTGGTGGGTGCGTGGGTGAGTGGGTGGGTGCGTGGGTGGGTGCGTGCGTGGGTGGGTGCGTGCGTGCATGCGTGGGTGGGTGCGTGGGTGGGTGCGTGGGTGGGTGCGTGGGTAGGTGGGTGGTTGCGTGGGTGGGTGAGTGGTGCGTGGGTGGGTGGTTGGGTGAGTGAGTGGGCAGTTGGGTGGGTGGGTGGGTGAGTGAGTGGATATGAATCCTTGCAGTCACGAAAGCTTCAAGTCTAGAAGTGAGTGGGTGGTTGGGTGAGTGGGTGGTTGGGCGAGTGAGAAATACAAAAACAGCGGCGCCGTCTCTGCGCGGCCAGTGTAACGTACTGCGTTGGGAAACTTTACTTGCCGTTGTTATTGTTCCCCCGCCGCGTTGGGGAAGAGAAAAACAACAACAACAACCGGGCATCGCCGCCGTTGTCTTTCGTCGCAGACGTTCCTGTGAGCAACGGGGAGTCGGGCAGCGGACGTGGCGTCCAGCGCTGCTCCAAGCACATCCAGGAGCTGGTGCTGAAGCGTCTGAAGGAGGCGGTGGCCAGCAAGCTCATCGCCTCGGTGGACTACCTGCGCGAGAGCTTCGTGGGCACGCTCGCGCGCTGCCTCGACTCGCTCGAGAAGTCGGGCGGGGACGTCACCAGCAACAGCCTCACCAGCTCGCACCTCAAGCAGGTGGGGGCGGGGGGGGTGGTGGTGAGGTGTGCACTGTCTGCCTGTGTCTGTCTGTCCATCCACCCGTCTGTCCATCCATTTCTCTGCCTGCCTGTATGTCCGGGTTTTCAAGTGTAGTGTTCATTGACCGTTTCTGCCCAGGTCACCAATTAAATTCATAGAGACCCGTAGATGTACACAGAAAATCTATGGACTCAGAGCAGGAGACCTGTAGAAATTCAGAGACCCACAGATTCACGGTGAATGAGTTGTGATTCAACTGGGCGCTGGAGCCTAGCAAGTCGATCGTCTCGGCCTGACCACCACTGCAAAACAAAACCCTTGCGTTACATTCGTTTCTGCAGTGAATTTGGCCGAATTTCATCTCTGAGAATGAGAATGTGGGGCTGACGGTCAAGCGACGAACCCTCACTCGCTGCTGCCTGTGCCGGTGCGAGTGGGAAGTCGCTTACTTCTGCCCGCGCGTCACTTGAAGCGAGCGCTGCGTTATCTGCCTCCGCGACCCTTTTTTAAGGACTTCACGCGATCGGTTGTATGGAGGGGGGTGGGGGAGTTGCTCGCTCGCTCTGTCCTTACCGTGCCCCCCCCTCCCCACGCGCGTCCCGGCAGATCTTGAACGCGGCCTACCACGTGGAGGTCACCTTCCAGTCGGGTTCCTCCGTCGCCTACATCCTCTGGGAGCAGATTAAGCAGGTGGGCCTGGTCTAGTTTGTTGTGTTTCTTACGTCTGGTTCGTGCAGTGTTGTCCACTCTATAAGCCCGTACGTAACATCATCGCCCCGTTTGAATAATATTACGATGGCAGCGTCCCCAACAGAGGAGCGGCCCCACGAGTGCCGCCCCCTTGTGTTCATGACCCCTGGGGGTCAAGGGTCACGAGGCTGGGTGCCGCCTCCTTGTGGCCATGACCCTCGGGGGCCAGGAGTCACGAGGTTGAGTGCCGCCCCCTTGTGCTCATGACCCCCGGGGGTCAGGAGTCACGAGGCACAGGCTCGCCGGGCCGGCCGGCAGCTCGTGACTGCGTGCGGGGGGGGGGGGGACGGACAGTGGCGTTTGTGTGCCACCGTCCAATGTGACCCTCGGGGGGTGGGTGGCTGGGGACATTCTGCATTTTGGCGCTGACCCTAGCAAATAAAGCGTCGCGGTTCTAATTTGTATGTTGCGCGTTGCGTAATCTTAAGGTTAGCGATTAAAAAAAAAGTTATCTAGTTTAATTTGTATATTGTCAAGTGATTTGTTTAACTTTCCCATACTTTGCACTCCTATCATGTTTTTGTATTTTTTCCCAATTGTGAAAAATAGCTTCATAGCTCATCGTATTCCTCCTGTAGTATAAATTAATATTCTGATTTGTTTTTGAAAGAGCAGCAACCCTGTACACCGGAACGTCTCGGGAGCGCTTTTCCGCGCAATAAGCGGCTCACGTCACATCTTCATCTCGAACATTGGAAAGGGGCACCCCCAGTGGCAGCTGTCTCTGTGCAGCACAAGGTGACTCGGGCGCTTGACCTGAGTCTACCCGCAAGGGGTGCTGGCGTGTAGCCGCAATTGACTGATCTGCAGGTACATCTTTTTGAATTTGGCAAATTTACTGGAACGCAAAGGGTTTCACACCGACCCAAACGGATACTTTGTCGTGATCAGAATCGCGATAAAATTCGGGAGAAAATTTACGAAATACGGAAAACGCTAACAAGCCGGCTGGCGAGAGGCTCCCTTGCTGGACTGGCTTTGCGGCCTGGCGACCTGTTCCAACGCCACGCCGCGTCCCGTACGCGACCCTGCGTCTGTGCGGAACCACAGCTGATCCACAGCCTCACGTGGACGACGCCGCCGGCGCCCACGGCCGAGTGGAAACGCAAGGTGGCGCAGGACACCATGGAGAGCCTCAGCGCCTCCAAGCTCGCCAAGAACATCTGCAGCCAGTTCCGCGCGCGGCTCAACCACTCGCACGAGGCCTTCGCGTCCTCGCTGCGCCAGGTGAGACGCCGCCGCCGCCAAAGTGGAACAGTGAAGTCTGGGGTCGACGGGTGCCGTTGCGGAATCGCGGTGGGTCGTGATTTGGCGCGTTTGGTGCGCGCGCAGATCTTTGAAGCGCAAGGCTGTCACGAAGGCGCCATGTCTCACAGACACGGGCTGCGGGGTAGTTTCGCAGGAGGTGGGCTACGTTGCGGCGCGGTGCAGTAAAACCTTGGACCGCGAGCATAATTCGTTCCGGAAATGTGTTTGTAATCCAAATCACTCGTAATATCAAAGCACTCGTATATCAGTTGTGATCACGTGACGCTCGGCAGACAAAGCGTACACACGTACTGCTCGTATTGCAAGGCCTCGCTCGTTTATCAAATTAATGTTCATTTAAATTTTTTGCTCGTCTTGCAAAACACTCGCAGACCAAGTTACTTGCAATCCAAGGTTTTACTGTATTTTCCAATCGCGGAGTTTAATCGAATTTGGCAAATTTTAAGCGTGACGCCGGCACACGCACGGTGGCCTACTCGTTCCGAATGACTCATGCGATCTTCCTCGTCCACCGTGAAGCGGACTGCGCGTGCGCGTACGCTTAATAACCGCGGTGGTAATAACCCAGGGCAACCTGCCGGATTCAAACCGCGAAACCTTCTGCGACATGCCGGCGAATGCGCCACCGCTGGGCCGCGTCGCCCGGGCCACAGTCAAAGATCGCGTCGTACCGCGCGAGCGAGCGACCGACCGAGCGACCATCGATTATCTTAGAGTCGGCACACCGTCGTAGTTTTGACGACGCCGTGGATTCTCCGGATCCGACGACGACGACTGCGACGACGGCGGCGGTGGCGGCGTGCGAGTTTCCGTCGTGACCCCCCCCGCCCCCCCCCGCTCGCCGTTTTCACAGCTGGAGGCGAAACACTCGGGCCGCCTGGAGCGCACGGAGGACATGTGGCTGAGGGTGAGGAAGGACCACGCCCCACGGCTGGCCAGACTGTCGCTCGAGAGCCGCTCGCTCCGAGACATCCTCTTGCACGGTACGCTGCGCCCACTCATCCCCCGTGTCTTTGTGTCTTTAAGTCCACCCGCCACCCCCCCTCCAACCGTGCTTTCGGCGTCACGCCACGGGACGCTGATTACACACAATAGAGGTTTTTTTTTGGGTTCGATCGCTTAAATGTAGATGTGTGTCGTTAGACCCGCCACCACCCGACACAGTTAATGAGAGAGGGGTTTGTCACGTAAACAGAACGTGCCAATTCGTTACCGGTTCAGCACACCGGTCGTGCGTTGGAGAGTAAAACCCACTTGCAGCATTTGCCGTTCGAGTACGAGGAGTACTACGCAAATGCATCTCGCGCAGCAGCGGGCGACCCGTTGTTTCATCGTCAATACCGCCATCCACGCGACTCTTCTCTTACACATGTAACAAAGGTCGTGGAAGCGACTTCTGGAATCCGGTCTTTATTTGTCTTTCGTTCACAACACTCCCATCTTACTCCTTCACGCTGCTGACAGACAGCGTGAGAGAGAGAGAGAGACACGCGCGGCCACGTGGCAGCCTGGACCACGTTCCAGCGTGGCCTCACCCTCCGTTCGATCCAGATCTGACCACGTGTTGTTCGTCTCCCGGGTCACGTGGTACCTTTCCACCAATCCTGGTTAGCCTCTATGGAATCTTCTAGACTCCATGGTACGCTCCCAGGACCACGCCCCTGACTCGTCCCCCCATTGGCTGTGGCTAAAGCCAGCAGAACCAATTCTCTACTTACAGATGTCACCTTCCCATTACGTCAGGGCCACGCCCCTAGACTTCTCCCCATTGGCTATGGGCCAGGACCGGCAGAGCCAATCATCATACGAGGTGTAATCCAACAGCAACCCGGATATGTCCTCACATTACACACATTTAACGTTAGAAATTCCCGACACGGGCTGCGAACGTGTGTGAAGAGCCGGCTTTGAGGAGAGTTCCCCAAGGGACCGGCCCTGCCACCTTGACTTTACCGCCTCCCTCTACCCATGATGTGCGTATGTGTGTGTTGAACTTCTTTCACACCGTACGTAGCCAACCGTGCTAATTGGAGGTGCGGGGGAAGGACAACAAACTAAACACACGAGTTCTAAAAACCAATAGGTGCAGCATTCCTTGCAGCCCACTCGGTATAAATGACAAAAAGAGTCTAACCTTAAACGAACTCAACTTTTTTTATTTTACCACGTAAGGAAGGCCCACTGAGCTACGTAGCTCTTTCTCAGAAGCGACCTGGTCACGAATTACAGCTCCGCAAAGTGGATTATCGTCATCACGTGGAAATTCACAGCGGCCGAATTCGCTAAAACGCGCCGCGATGTTGATTCTAAATGTGGAGGGAACAACCGGCGGCCCCGGAGAAAAATCCACGCGGCCACGGGGAGAGAAACACGCACGCAAACTCCACATACACAGCAGGCGTCGTCAGGGTTGTGATCGAACCCGCGACCTCCTGCACACCAGGTGAGGTTGTTAAATAACATACTGTAGTTTAGTTTAACGTCTTTGAGACATCCAGTTCTGAAACCCCGCCAGCAGGTGGCGACTGCCGTTCGCCACGCAGCCCAAGCCCTCACCTCCACCGCCGCTCGTAGCCCGTGGGGGGGGGGGGTGGGATATCCGAACACCGTCTTCTGAGGACGCGCGCGCACTCGGTATATGCACACTCAGTACACACACACAGTACACACACACTCAGTACACACACACTCAGTACACACACACTCAGTACACGCACACTCAGTACACACACACTCAGTACACACACACTCAGTACACACACACTCAGTACACACACACTCAGTACACACACACTCAGTACACACACACTCAGTGCGCACACTCGGTACGCACACTTAGCACGCACACTCAGTACACACACTCAGTACACACACTCAGTACGCGCACGCGAAGTAGACCATCGGGCCGACGCGCAGTTCGGCCGCTCGTCAAACCCCATCGTTGACGACGTTCCCAAGCGTTTGCACATCGAGCACAGTTTGCCCACAAGTGTCCCTCTCTCCGTTTCGCGTGCCCCCTCTCTGCTCCCGTTCCCTCTTCAGCCCCCCCCCACCCTCCCTCCGGACCGTTTGCGAGCACTCGATGTGCGAATCGGAGCGCGGTCGTCGCCGTGGCATGGACGAGCAGAAGAGCCGTGTGTCTACCCTGAGGGCCCTTGTCGTCGTTATCGTTGTTGTTTGTGTCGTCGGTGTGCGTGCGTGCGTGCGCGACGCTTGTTTTTCGCGCTGCCGTCGTAATGAAGGGGGTCCAATCCCCGACGGATGCTCGCTCTCTGTCGGCAGCGCGGGTCGTAGAGTGGCTTAAAAAAAAAAAAACCCGGCTTACGCACTCATCGCCTTTGCTTTAAGCGTGTAACGGCCGCTTCGTACAACTTGTGTCTTTTTTAAGATATTTTTTAAGATGGATCGGTGGTCCTTCACCGAGCTTGGCAGGCGATCTGCCCTTCAGATGTTATACATGCGTGCTAATTGTGCGAGCGGCATTGCGGTGGTGAGTGCACTTGCTCTACAAACCCCGTGACCCGGTTCCATTCCTGGTCCACGGATAATCTCGGCCAGAAGTCAAGGGTCAATGCGCGGGAAATTTACGCTCATTTACATGAGCATTAGGGCATTTGGTTATAGCGAGGTACCAGAGTGCGTACAACGGGATTGGGTATCAATTTAGTCGAGTACGTCATAGCGAAAGTACGTCAAACGGAAAGGCGCAAATTGGATTATTGCTGTCTACGCAGTGACCCGTTGGTTGTATGATGTATGTATGTTGCACTTTCACACCGTGCTTAGCCAACCGTGCTAATCAGAGGTGCGGAGGAAGGTCAACAAACTTGCCAAAAGCAGCTCTAAAGAAATGAGTTTTCAGTATAGATTCAAAAGTGCATAGCTCCAGAGGCTTCCTAATATCGGGTGGAAGAGCGTTCCAGACGGCCGTTGAAGCACGCGTCTGAAAGCGAGCGATGCAGTGAGCCATTGGCGTGGCTACCACCACTTGAACCAGTCTCGTCCCCGCCATAGGATTATGGAATTTCAACAAATGGCTCCCGGGTTTGGGACGGTTACGGAGGCCTAGCATCTCTCGCCGCTGCGGTTAGCCGTGGCTGGGAATAGAACTCAGGGTCTGCCACCTTCACAGCTAGCGGCGTTGCGGTAACCACTGGCCCCACCTCGGACGGTCTATATGAATCCAAATTCTACTTTAATTGTGTTGTTTTTGCAAACCTCGTCTTATATAAATCTCATTTTGCATTTTGGCCCGGGAGCACTTAATACAAGGGTAGCCTGTAAATCACACCTCCCACAAGTCTCCACCATCCACTGATTTACTCAGGGGGCTTTTCCGTCTTAATAAGGCTGCGTCTGTTGTCGCGAGGTCAAGGTCCCGTGGGATACCATGGAGTCGCCGCGTCTGGCAGATGTTATGGCCACCCTTTGGATTTGCGCACAATGTTTCGCGTTCAGATTGTGTGCGGCTGCGTGGTTTGCCGGTTTGGCGCGCCGCGCGCTATGAAGCCAGCCGCCCACCCGAGTCTCTCTCTTCTTCCTGGCTACAGCGAACGTCAGCGGCGGGTGATGTCTGATCTTGGCCCTAGGCCCCTCCGCCTCTCATCCAGCATGCGCTGACCGGCGTGGTGAAGTATGCTTCAAGCAAAAACCCCGTGACGGACTTGGTGTACGGAGGCCGTCATCCGACATGGTGGATAGACAAAGGACCGTGTGTTATTATTATTATTTGTACGATTAGTACGTAGACGACTCTGCGGACGTAAGCGGTCGCTGCACATAAATTAACCGACCTAGGCACCTTTTTGGGTTCTTGAGCCCGAGGCTCACAGAGGCAGAAATAAGGAACCTATTACTCATCGGATTTTGACATCCCATATTCCCAATCGCCAATATCCATGCACATTTTAACATGAGTGATGAAGTGAGAAAAGGCTACAAATGAGAGGGGGCCAGTGGCCTCCATCTCGTTAGCGCTAGATCGATTCTAGATTCTCCTTGCGGCACGTGTGATGTACGTTGAACTTTATTCGCACCGTACGTAGCCAACCGTGCTAATCGGAGGTGCGGGGGAAGGAAAACAAACTATGTTGAACTGAACACAAAAATCCAGTTCAAAAAAAAAAAGTTTTTCAATCTGGATGATTTAAAAGTGCGTAGCTGCAGTGGGCTTCCTAATATCAGAAGAACGTTCCAGACGGCCACAGAAGCGTGCGCGATGCGGTTGACTGTCTTTGTTCGATGGTTAGCCAAAAGTTGCTGCTGCTGCAGAGTCCCAGTGAATCTCATGACGAGGCTGGTTGTAATAACCGGCGAAACGTCACGTTACTCGAATTGTAAATGTTGTAGGTTTACGCTCCCAACACACCGGTGTGCTGTACTAGTGACGGATTGGCCACGTTCTGTTTACGTGACAAACCTTACGAATAGGCTGTGTCGGGTGGTGACGGGTTTAACGACACATTCATCTTCTTGGTTCTTTCGGTAAAGTGACGTAGAAGGGAAATAATAAAATAATAGAAATAACACATAATAAAATAATTCTCACGACGTTTCGGCCACAACGCAAGCAGCCGTCCTCGCGTGAAGAACAGGTCTGTCGGAAAGACAGCGTCTGAATGAATGAAGTTTCATTCAGACGCTGTCTTTCCGTCTGAATGAATGAAGTTTCATTCAGACGCTGTCTTTCCGACAGACCTGTTCTTCACCTGAGGATGGCTGCTTGCGTTGTGGCCGAAACGTCGTGAGAATTATTTAATTATGTTTTATTTTTATTATTTTATTATTTTCCTTCTACGTGACTTTACCGAAAGAACCAAGAAAATGAATCCCTGCAGTCACGAAAGCTTTAAATCGAGACACATTCATATTCACGCGATCTAACCCAACAACAAAAACCTGTATTATGGATCTCACGCGTTATTGCCCGCAGTGCCTTACCCATGTATTATTATTGTCAAGCGATTTTTCCCAAAACGCGTTT